ATAATGAGTAGAAATCACTCTGACAATTAAGTCCCTGTGACCTTGACCTTTGACCTAGTGTACCCAAAATTTATAGGCGTCATCTACTAGTTATGACCAATCAATATGTCTAATCTGTAGACTTTATTATGAATACTTTTCATGATAATAAGCAGAAACCATTTTGACATTTACTTCCCCTGTGACCTTCACCTTTGACCTAGTGACCCCAAAATCAAGAGGGATCATCTACTTGTTATGATCAATCTTTATTTGAAATACTAGTATGACGATTTTGTGCTGAATACTCTTCAAGATAATCGGCGGAAACCATTTTGACATTTACGGCCCTGTGACCTTGTGACCCCAAAATCAATAGGGTCATCTACTAGTTATGACCAATCACTATGTGAAATATGAGAGTTTGTGATGAATAGTTTTCAAGATAATCAACGGAAACCATATGTGGTCTACCGACGGACAGACCAACAGACAGACCAACATGAGCGAAACAATATACCCCCATCTTCTTTGAAGGGGTGGGGCATAATAAGTGACCTCTTCTCCCTAGCGGGCCACTTTTTGTCTAACATGACATGACATTTATAACTTTTGTAGAGGACCTGTCCACTTCGATTTTTAAATGCATGTTGTCTTTCTTGTTTTTGTGTGTATACATTAAAAATATAGACTATGAAATACTTAGTTAAATCTTTCTCTTACATGTTTTACTTTCTCTGTGTATATACTTACATGTATGTCGATTTTATTCCGATAAAAATCATCGTTTCTTCTTTTTCAGCTTTTACTACTTGTAAATATATTTTGATATAGATAATAAAAATAATATTTTTTTTGTATTTTACAGGATTCACTTATTTGTGATATGTAATTTGTGTCAATTCTAATTCATTATTTGTTGTTTTTTTTCAGGTTTTACACTTATACATGTATATATTTTTATGATGATTTTCTTTTGTAATTATGTAATGCTGTTTATGTGAATATTACTATTATACTAAAGGAAATAATAAACAATAGGTTTACATTCTAATCAATGAAAATGTGTAATAAACCCAAGATAATTGACCTTTTTCGAAAACCTAACTACTCCGTTTTCCGGTACATTACATGTACAGAATGTACCAGAAAACGGCGTTTAGCTAGGTTTTCGAATTCTTCAATTGACGTGCCAATAGGGAACGATCTGAGATAAGCATCGTATACGTCACTGATAAGAGACCTGTTCTAAAAATAGCCACATATCGATAACTTTCGGACAAGGAAACTGGTTATCTACATGTAGATTATACAACATGTTATGGTTACGAATACTTTTATTCACATTTCTCTCAATGGAAATGATGTTCCTGGATTTAAACTTGCGTAAAGCATGATTGAGATGGTTTAAAACCATCAGGAAAATAAAGATGATATGGTGAAAAAGAAATAACTTTCGGCTGCATGTCAATTTGAGAAAAATGCCGGCGCTTGGCAATTTGTTTTTGTTTCACTGTTTATCAAATTAGAAATGGTGATATGATATGGTATGATTTTCCTATCACCACAACGTCATGTGATATGGCCCCTGTGAGAGATGCTTGTAGTATCCAGGAGGTCAATTGCAAGTTAGTTCCAGTAGAGTACAGGTCTACATGACATATGAAAAGTGATTTTACGGTATTTGTTATTCGAACTAGTTGAATTTAAGACGTTGCGTTTCTAAAAATCTAATTCTACAAAATCTAATGAAAACTTTAAAAATTATAAAAAGGGATATTTAGATTGAATTGTAAAGAGAAAAAAAATAATTTAAGACTGATATAATGACAGTTTTAACATGGCGCAGGAATTAAGGTATCCTGCAAAGACTGGGATTGGAACTCAGTTTGGAAAAAATGGAGGTGGCAGTTAATTAGGCTCCCAGACTATAACTGGAAGCGATGACTTCTTTTTCAAAGTCCACTACCACAGCTAGTGGCGATGATACCAGAGAGTCTGGCACTAGTGGTAGGCCATTAAGCCATGTACAATGAATAATTCTGACACTGCAAAAATAGCTAGAATTCTCAACAATCATGACTTTTCAAAGGCAACAGCCTGAAATGCTGAAAAACTTGGTTTCTGAATTAACATCAATGAAACAGACAATGTACCAGAATCTGGGAACATGGCGGATGATGCAAGTGAAAATGAAGAGCATGATGGAATTTCCCCAGAAAGTAACTCTGTTGACCAGCCAAAAAGTGACCCGAGTCAAGGTCAAAAGGGTGAAGAAAACAACAAGTGCTCCATTTTGATAAACTCTACATATGTGAAAACACTACACATGTGATAAGACAACCGCATTGATAATATACAATATTACATACTTCCTTCAATTATTTCTTGTCACCAGTGTGTATTCTCATACTAGAGTATGTGTCTTCTGTGAATTTTATTCTGGTCTGTATCGGCAGCCGATGTCAAGATCCTTATAACACATATAATTGATCAAATTATACATATAAAGTACACTTACAAAAAATTATAAATTTTTTAATACGTTAATTAATAACTTTAGATACAATGTCACATCGACATATTTTTGAAGAAAAAAAATATACAAAAATGTAGTGAGAACTTTTGTGTAATCGATCTGCTAAGACACAAACGCATATTTTAATTATGTTGTGCTGATTTATTTCACTTTAAGTATTTATGCAATAAACAAATCCACCTTTTCCCCTGATGAGAATTCTTGTTTTGTCAAACTTGCATTTGAAAAAAAAAAAAAAACATTTTATCACATATTTTTACCCCTCACTTTTTTTCGTAATGTTTATTTCCCATAGGCCTCTGGAAGTTATTCTTACTGTTAATGCAAGTGTACCACGTGACTAAGAATGTTATACTGTTACATAGGTAACAGTATTCTGTATATAAATAACACATGGGTTTGTGGGTAAAAGTAATAATATCCCGAGGAAAATACTGTTACCCGAGGCGTAGTATTTTTACGAGGGATGATATTTTTACTGTTACACACACCCTCGGCGTACATGCAGTATTTTCCTCGGGATGATATTTTTACTGTTACCCACAAACCCATGTGTTATTTATACACTAATAATTTATGGTTTTTTTTTAATTTTTGTTTAATGTCTCATTTTATGTCTTTTTCTAAGACCGCTTATCTGATAAAAATATGACTTATTACAAAATGAGCATGTACATAATACCCAACTGGTGGGAATATGTGTGAAATGTTTCAGGTTACTTGATGCTCTAGATCTTTCTCAACGGTGTGAATTGTCATGTGTTTTGTCTAAAACATGCTTTATTTCATATTTCGCACATATATTTTGTCTCACAAATGTGAATTTTTCCATTATATTTTAGGTACTGAAAACAAATCTTTAGCTCATCAATCTCTATATTATTGGCATATAATATGTATGACAACTGACCGACAAAACAGTGTCTTTTCACATATCACACATTTATATTATTTCACACACTAGTGAGTTGTCATATGTGAGTGAAGGTCAAATAAACATAAAAGGTATTTTATCTAAAATTCTGCTTCTAAGTTTTAAATTTACTAAAACGAAGTCGGGGGGGGGGGGGAGACTTTCATCCGCAACCAATTGTATTAAGATCATATCCAAAATAATATTTAATTGTGTATCTTGACATTATTTAAAGAATATATGGAAATAACACAACACTTGCGAACAAGGGAACATTTACTGCAATCAGCAATGAAACCACATGGAAAAATATTAGTCAATGGAAAAAATTAAGCATGCATAACACTAGTGCTGGCATTCTAAGCATCTTATAACCACATAGTACCAGAGCCGCTGCTCCTTTTAAAGCATTTGTTAAAGAGGTACCTTTATATACATAATTGAAAGTACATGTACAGGGTGCTGGAGCAATGCACAAACTTTTGCAAGTTATTATAATAAAACAATATTATCTCGTTCAAACATATTTTAAGAGAAGATATTGGAAAATGAGTGATGCCTTTTATTTACACAATAATGTTAATAATTCAGCCATTTGTATAGTGTTGTCTGTAATAAACATACACATTACATCAAAATATGTTATACAATCAGTGATTTTACTACTTATATAACAGACTCCGAAAAAAGGCCTCTTCCCAATTGAATTTTTCTTTATAAGCATGCAGTTTTCCCAAAAATCTGAACTTAAACAAGCTTTTTTACTTCCCAAATCAGCAATTTTAGCGATAATTTTTCCCAAAATCAAAAGGCTAAGGCCTCTTCCCAATTAAGTGAGAAAAAACACTGACAATAGAGAAGAATTATAGATTTATTGTACAACTTCAATATTTAATCAGGAATCCGCTCTTAAAATCTGTGGTGTCTATAAGGTAGATTATGTTACTTATCTGTAAGTATGTTGATCATGATTTCATCAGCACAAATCTCCCTTTGAGCTCACCCACCTACCCACCCTTCCTGTTCAGATTAATTCCTGCTTAAATAACTTATGATTTCTTGCACACAAGAAATCATTCTAAAGTATAACCAAGCTTGTGTGTTGATGCAGTGTAGGCAATCTGAGTGAGCCCAAAGAAAGACTTTTGCTGGATGAAATTATTTTAACCTTCAACTCACAGGTAAGTCTCGCTAAATCTATCATGTTTTGTAGAACTTGTAACCATACATATTTCAATACACTAAATATTGTCATTTATGACAGATAGACATGTAGACACCAACTAGGCACATTTGGTTAATCTACATGTATTGTCAATAATTCTTATATGTTATACATGTAATTTTCCACTATCTAATCATTGCCAACCACCTAAGATAAACACTACATATGTGATAAGATAACTGCATTGAGAACATACATTATCATAGACTTTCTTTATTTATTTCTTAACACCAGTTTGTATTCTCATATGTGTCTTTATTGAAAATTATTGAGAAAATGTTTTATCACAATTATGATTTTTCTCGCATGTGTGTATTTTCATGTGTGAGATAAGATGATCTCGCCTAGAAAACGTTTTATCACACAATTTGCATCAATGATTCTTCTCACCAGTATGTATTGTCATATGCCTGATAAGATTACTTTGTGTAGAAAATGCTTTATCACACACTTCACATTTATGTTTCTTCTCACCAGTATGTATTGTCATATGTCTGATAAGATTACTTTGTGTAGAAAATGCTTTATCACACACTTCACATTTATGTTTCTTCTCGCCAGTATGGATTCTCATATGCCTGATAAGATTACTTCGATCAGAGAATGATTTATCACACACTTCACATTTATAATTCTTCTCGCCAGTATGGATTCTCATATGCCTGATCAGATCACTTTGTGTAGAAAATGCTTTATCACACACTTCACATTTATGTTTCTTCTCGTGGGTGTGTGTTCTCATATGACTGATAAGATTACTTTGATCAGAAAATGTTTCATCACACACTTCACATTTATATTTCTTCTCGCCAGTATGTATTCTCATATGCCTGATAAGATAACTTCCTGTAGAAAATGCTTTATCACACACTTCACATTTATATATCTCTTCGCCAGTATGTATTCTCATATGCCTGATAAGATTACTTCGTGTAGAAAATGCTTTATCACACACTTCACATTTATATATCTCTTCGCCAGTATGTATTCTCATATGCCTGATAAGATTACTTCGTGTAGAAAATGCTTTATCACACAATTCACATTTATGTTTCTTCGCGCCAGTGTGTATTCTCATATGACTGATAAGATCACTTCGTGTAGAAAATGCTTTATCACACACTTCACATTTATATTTCTTCTCGCCAGTATGTATTCTCATATGCCTAATAAGATTACTTCGTGTAGAAAATGCTTTATCACACAATTCACATTTATGTTTCTTCGCGCCAGTGTGTATTCTCATATGACTGATAAGATTACTTCGTGTAGAAAACGCTTTATTACACACTTCACATATATGATTCTTCTCGCCAGAGTGAATTGTCATATGCCTGATAAGATCATGTCGTGTAGAAAATATTTTATCACATACTTCACATTGCTGGTTCTTCTCACCAGTGTGAATTCTCATATGGGCATTCAAAGAACTTCGATACGAATATGTTTTATCACACACATAACATCTGTGTATCTTGTCGCCAGTGTGTATTGTTATATGTGTGATCAAAAAACTTTGTTGAGAAAATGCTTCATTACTCATTTTACATCAATGATTCTTCTTGATGGTATGTATCTTTATTTATATGTTTGTTCAGAGAACTTCAATGAGAAAATGTTTCATCACAAACAGCACATCTATTTGTCATTTTACATCGACTGAGCATCTTATTTCTTTCAACATCACTTCTATGAGATAATAAATTTCTTACAAAGTGAGTCTATACTGCATTTCTTGTCCGTTTGAATTTCCTTCCTAAAAGTAAGACACTGAATTTAAATTAATACTTCATCACATATTTCACAAGAATTATTCACCTAATATTTACGAATTTTAACGTTTGAAACTTCTATAGAAAACTCAGGGTCTTAAAGTTTTCTTTCAATGTACAATTTACTGATATGGGGACATTCATCCTACTTAGTAAATGCATGTGAAACTGTAAACTTTAATCATAATATTGATGAAAAAACAAAAACTAACATGTTTCTTGTCAATTTTTTTGGTTATGTACTGTATCAGTAAAGCAAAATGAAAAAGATATTTAGTGTTTGCATATCAAATCTTTATATAGGTACTAATTTAGACTAACAAGATATGTTTGTAAAATATGTATGCCCCTTCCCCCATTGGCAGACAATTAGTTATGTGGTCAGCTAATGACTGACTTGACTTAGTGACCAAAAAATCAATAGGGCTTATCTACTGGCCATGAATACTCACTAGGTATTTGTGTTAGGTTGGTTCAAAAAGAAATTGTTGTACTTATATTGTATAGGTATGGTACAGACAAGTTTCGTCATCGCACAGTTACTAAATTCGTGGCTATAAGGTTGATAGAGGTTGTCAATACCCATTATATAATACTTTAATTGTCTTACACCATATGAAACGTTTCCCTAAAATTATTCAAATAATGAGTCTACTAAGGCTAAAAGAAAAATGTTTTGTTAGGGTCACCTTATCCTACCTAAATATATGCCTTGTAGAGGTATAGTACGGACAAGTTTCATCGGCGCACAATAACAAAAATAGTGGCTTAGGTTGAGTGAGGATGTCAATGATTATGAACACAGCTTTTGGTTGCAAACAAACTGCAAAACATTCAATGCATAAAATCTTGGGATAAATTTTCTTGTTGCACCTATTTCGGAATAAGGTATAATTAAAAATTGAATACAAAATATGATTCGGTCAGGCTTGTAGTAGAAGGAGCCTACACAAAGTATAATTACGACAATGGGCCAATTTATCAAGTACCCCACCCACCACTTGTATTCTGTATATAACAGGGCATGATTTTTTTTTCCGGATTTAGATGTTCAAAGCTTAACATAATTTAAGAATAAAATCCGACCTGCCCTACCTATTCCCGACGATAAAGTTACCCTAACAAAACAATTTTTGACACTACTGTTATAGATAAACATATTCTGAACACTTCATGCACAGGACCCCGAAATTCTATCCAAAACAGAAAAATAACGATTTAAAAAGAATCCCCTATATATACTATAAAAAAACACGTGTTTTATAGTATATATAGGGGACTTTTTAAATCGTTATTTTTCTGTTTTGGATAGAATTTCGGGGTCCTGTGCTTCATATGCAGTAATAAACTAAAACTACAATAAATATTTGTACTCATGGATAAGTAACAAATTTTTTCTATTCAAAGTCTTACATTAAATTAAAGTAAATGTATAAATATTTTATTATTTAACATTTTTACCTGATATTCTATTGAAATAATTGTAAAACGATTATTTCTTTATGAACGGTCAATGACGATCAATTATCAAAGGGGAGTAACTATGTGTTATCATTACAGAACAGAACAGAACAGAAACTTTATTACTTGATATAAGCATAAATAGCTCATCACCATATTAAATATACAAATACAACATATAATACATAAATGACACATGACATGAATATATATAATTACAAAATAATGGTTTATGTGATGTGAGAATGTTTAATTTGAGATACGAAATTACTTAAAAAGCACATGAATACATGTATATAATACACAAGAATTGGCCTATCTTTACCAAACATTATCAATTTAAGCTACAATACACTTTCTTTTATGTGAATACAAAAAAACAAACTGTGACAAATGAAGGGGGATAACTTAGGTAACTTTACATAACCAGTATTTTAACATTTACTTCCCCTTAATAATTCATGATCAATATTAATAGAATTCATTTCTATATGAATCAAAGGGCTGCAGCTCTATGGTATTTTCTGATCTTTGCAATCTAAATCATACTGACTATCTGTATGTACTTCCCTGTATAAGTTTATTGTTATATACTATAATTTTTCTTACGCAGCGACAGCGTTTTGATTTTCTTCTATAACAGTTTGATATTTACATATGGAATTTTGCATGAAAAAAAAAAATAGAATTGCCTCGACTAGGATTTGAACCATAGGCCTCTCACACCCTCAACGAGACCGCTTACCTCTGCACCACGGCGAAGTTATACATATGAACCTTGAATAAAAACGAATACATTATGTAATTCTAAATTGAGAATTTCCATTTCGTGTTTGTAATCCTTATTAATTTCGAGGTATTTTGTTCACGATAAACGTGTTGTTTAACACTGATGAAAATAATTTATCGAAAATCTTCTCGCCAAAACAGTCCGACATGTATAAATTCCACTACTCGACAGTCAGATTTATTTGTGTACTACGCTCTGGAGTATTCGGTAATCGGCATAGCTGAAATAAATTTCCTTTTAAAAGGAAAGGCTTGCACAGTTGTGCCTTCATCCCAACCATTTAAAATTGTTTTTTTTTTGTTTCAATTTATTATCACATTTTTTTTTTTGAATTACGGTATTTGTATATCATAAAGGGTTTATTTAGTTCTCTTATCTCTATTGTATAAAACTAATAAAGAAAATGATCAATCGTAAAAATACTAACGTGATACTGAAGTCTGAAGGAAAACAAGTGTGCACATTTCATTTCCCCTTTTTCGCAGCGAAATCATTCCTTTGCTTTATAGACAAGTAAATGCACTAATTAAGAAGCATGTCCCAGCAAACATGCATATATGGGACCCATATGGGCTATATCTAGGCAAGCCCATATGGGTATGCCCATATTGGACCTATATGGGACCAATATGGGCAAGTCCATTTGGGTACGCCCATATTGGACCCATATGGGTCCCATATTACAGCACTATAAGGAAAAACGACTTTTCGTTTATTAATTTCTTTAGAACTTGTTTACTTTGAGCTATAGTGTGACCACCTTTGCATAAATTGCTATTATCTTTTATAAAAATCGTAGCATTAACATATATACAAGCCATACTATCAACTATGTAGACGATGCGCTATGTGGCAAGGTTAATGATATGCATGGGCTATTTTTAGATTACCTCACCAGTTCAGTAGATCTAAATATAACTCGATCATGCAGGACCACCCTTTGAAGACGGAATACTACTACCATTCTCTAATGTATAAAACTGATACAGACAAAAAACAATTATAAAAGAAACTAACTTTTGCGTCTTGAAAAACAATTGAAACGGAACAATTTCGTTTATAATTTATTACGGTAATCAAGTAAAAATAGAAATCCTATTTATATAAACAAACTGGGATTATCGAAGTAACTAAAATAGCTTAGATTTCCGTTATATTACTTAGTATGACGGAATCGCCCGAATTGTCACGATTGCAATCGGAACTACATCGGCTATTATCATTAATCCGAAGAGTGACGGAAAAGGCCGAAAGGTTGCGATTGGCACGATTGCAGCTGGTTACCCGTTCAATCATGCACCAACAGATGTAAGCAGGAAACCACCTAACCGGAACAAGTTTTCCATATGAAATGGCTTGCAGCCGTGGCTGCAAGCCAAAAAGCATTTTCATTGATTAAAATGATATTCATGATAATCCGAAGCTTTACGGAAATAGCCGAACATTTTTCATTGGGTACAAAAGATTTTCATCCGCGAAATTTGTGATTGTAACCTCATATTTCTATTGATTAATCTAAACTTTTAATGCACTGTAATTCGTTAAATGCCTACATTAAAAATCATTCTTTCTTTTAAATTGCTGGTTTTTAAGCAGTTTTGAGTGAGAACTACTTTGCATTGTTAGGACTGTTAGGAAATTTTGTGTTAGACCGTGGATGTTAGCTATGTATTTACTTATCTTACGATCAGAAAATACAAAAATGAATACATTTACTGATTTTGTACGTTTTTTTTTATACGAGAACAGATACTCGTATATATAAAGAAAAGAAAACCCACACAAAACATACCAATACCCAAAACAACTAACACTTGACTTAATTATAAGGATTAGTTTTGTCAAAACATTTTATCATGGTATTTATATTCGGTTATGTGTTGAAGTTAATTTGAGAAGATACAAATATTAATAAATAAATAAAAAAAAATATGTGTATATATACATTTCATATTCACATATAACTTTACAAATCTACATGATGGATATACAATGCGCATTTAACAGTTACAATGATACTTTTTTCATTTTTTTTAAACAACAGAAAAAAACGAGAAAGAGGGTAAATTTAAGCTTACATGTCAGTATATTATAACAAATTTAACTATCCCTCAATTTAAAAGCTTTATCACGTACAGAATATAACTAAATTTTTCAGATTTTTCTTGCGACCAGTTTGCATTAATGAAATGAATTTAAACATACTTGTGTTGCAATAATAGTATCTTGGAATATATTGCTTTCTAAACTCAGAATATATCGGACATTTAAGGATAAAGTGATTCATCTTCTATATCATTCATATAATATAAAGTGCACTTTCGTTCATTCCTTGGTACATTATTATGTCTTCCTAACTCGATATTAAGTTTGTGTGAGGAGAGTCTTATTTTTGCTAAAACATTTCTATATTTTACATTTTCAATATATTTTATATATATCGATTGTTCAAATGTAATCTTATATTCCCTATATACATTTAACAATGATGAAGATTGAATACCATCATTCCAACAACTTAAAATATAAATATCCCGTAATCTATTCCTAAAAATAGGTACAAATAGTTTTATATTAACAGAATCGGGATATAACCAGACTTCATTAAATCCTGCTGACTGAAGAATTAATGTTTTTAACTTTTGAAGCCCAGTTTGTTGAACAATTTACCACATCAACATCATATATCTGTCTACACAATATTGTTCTCAATATACAATTATCTTTTTTACTTGTATTTAACTTAAGAAAATATTTAATCATACGAATATGCCTTTCAATGTAAAGAGGAAATCACCCCAATTCTGCATATAATGCCAAAGTATTTGTCGACTGTTAAACATTTAAAATAAACCTACAAAAATTTTTATGTACTCGTTCCAAAACTTCTGCATTCATACAGGTACACAAACGTTTCACTCTCATGGTGGTTCACATCCTACTTTAATTGTGGCAGGAATGACTTTTATATCTTTAATAAATTTTCATTTTAGACTAAATATGGTAGTTAATTAGTTCACAGATTTATTTCACTACGGTACTAAATTACATGTTGAAATCATACACGCATCTTTATACTATTAGTACACAGTAAGTTTACTATCTAGGGTTAATCAATAAGTATTGTACTTCATTTTACAGTTGATGAGATTACTTTTTATTTTGTGAATTACTTGTAACTTAATTAATAAAATTTAGATTAAAAATTAGATTATTAATAAGAAAATAAATATAGAATTATTGAACCATAATCTTGTTATTTTGTACATTCTGTTTAAAAACATTTTAACAAAATAATCTGGGTAAAAACAGGAGGTTATCCTGTTACATGATGCCAAAAACGAATTTGATACTTTTGATTTAATAAACTTTATTAATAAAAAGTTATATGTTATTTTGATTTAAAAATTGCCATAACATTAATTGAATTGACCTAATATGGTTATTAATATGTGCACTCTAAGCAGGTATGTATATTAATATACGTACCTGATCTAAGTTTATAAATCATATCTTTTGAAAGTTCAATTAGACAATTCATACTTGGTTCGGCTTATGTTACCTCTTATATACCTCTATATATGTTGGAACACAAACCTTTTAAGTAATTTATCTTGTTTAAATAAAGTAAGGCATTTCACATCATTTTTCTTCAACAAAACTATCCACGAATATCAAAACTGATTTTCAGAGAAGTTGATAAAATGTAGACATGATTTTACAATTTAATGAGTAGGAAAATTAATTTGCAAATATTTGAAGATATTCACTTAGCATCATATACTTACTAAGCAAATTTATTATTATTGAATAAACTTTATTGTAATGTATTTTATAAAAACGCTTTTCAACATTATATGTACATGTATTTGTAACTCAGATATTATGCTGTATACGATGATGCACTACGTACAATTCAAAGATCTCTTCTGTTTCAGTTCTGTCGAAATAAATACATAAAGTATCTTACATGTGTGTCTCTTGGCTATATACAATTTGACACAAAACTTAACTGTTTGACTATTATATCATTCTATATAAACTTAATTGTTTTACCAATTATTTCAGTCTATATAAACTAAGTAACCTCAGGTTTGAAGGGGGCGGTAGTCCCCCTCATCGCCAAGAAAATTTTGGACTTGTGAGAGGCTAAAAATGACCCAAGATCGATCATAATGTCACAGGGTAAGAAAATGTGCAGCCTGACCAGGACTCGAACCCGGTCCTTCGGAATACCGTTCCGTGGCTCTACCGACTGAGCTATCCGGCCGCTTACACATCTTCTCCCGTAAATAGTGAACAGTTCTGAACCGTGACATACTCCCCTGCTATATTGAAATTCGTCCTCGAATTTCACAGAGTTACAGAGCATTGTAAATTAAACTCTGAGCTATATCAGTCACGGTCCCCCGTTGGGCGCCAATTGTCGCAGTCCAAAAGATAAGGGGGTTTCTTATGGACGCTGTGGGTTAAAGTACTTGGGACCTGGCCAGAAGGTCTGTAAATACAAAAATTATGCGCTTTCAAATAATTTTATTAGCATTCAAAAATCGCGGCTCTCGCCATCAAAATCTTTCAAAATAGTGCAAAATACAAAATATCAATGAAAATGATGAATGACAAAAGGGAAAGAATGAATAAGAGCATCAAAACAATCTACCAATTTACATGTAAATACACAAATTATGCGCTTTCAAATAATTTTAATAGCATTCAAAAATCGCGGCTCTCGCCATCAAAATCTTCAAAATAGTGCGCATGCGTAGTGTAGTGAATCAATTAAGTAGAAAGTTAGATAGAGATGCCCGTAATTGTGGTGAGTATATGATCAATATGGGGATGAATGAAAAGTATGATGAAAATTAAAGCTATAGGACATTTAGGACAAGCAATAACACATATAAACATGTACGTATATGAACCTGTGACAATAAGGTAACGTGTAACCAACGCTGAAATGCATTTGACTCTATCTCAATCCATTGAGAAGTTGCAACACTTTGACATGAATTTTGATGGAAAAAATTAATGCAAAATAGTGATTTTCACAGCCATTTTTCACAAAATGCTCATGAAGTAATGGGTTAAACAGTTAGTTCCCAGCTAGATATTCTGGTCTGTATCGGCAGCCTGTGTTAAGATCCTTACATAAAATAAAAGTATTAACACATTGGTCAATATACATATAAAGTACACTTACAAAAATTTATAAAAAAATTTAATACGTTATCAAATTACTTTGAATACAATGTCACACAGACATATGTTTGGAAGAAATACTAAGTTGTGGGGTATTATCAAACATTAAAAAGTAGTAAGAAGTTGCGTGTAATCAATCGACTATGAAACAAACAAACTTAATGTCATATTCTATATCTTAAGAATATTTTAATTATGTTGTGCTGATGTATTGCACTTTTAGAATTTATGCACAAAATCCATCTTTCATTTCCATGATGAGAATTCTTGTTAATTCAAACTTGCATTTGAGAAAAAACTTTTTTATCACATACTAGTACTTTATGGGTTTTTTATTTGTTTGGGTCGTCAAACCAAACAATTAAATAATGGTAGCGAAATTTCAGACTCTGAAGCTTTTAATTGCAAATGCCGAAAGTAGTCCCTTTATATGTAAACTAACGCCGAAAAATTCAGGGGAGATCACTGCGTAAAGATCGTCAAGTGACAGGCGCATTAAATTTCAAGCAAAATTATTCCCGAATGGTCGAAGATTTCTAATATTGTTTTATTCTTTAAAGATATACATGCTTATAGTAAGCTCCATGATTATTTACATCTGTGTTAAACAACAGTGAGCGTCGTTACAAACCTTAATTTAGAATAATATGGTTTTCTTCAGGCTTTTAACATATAAATTCACCCTGGCCGAGGGATTAGCGCGATCGCTTAGGAAGCGAGAGGTCTGGAGTTCAAATCCCAGTTAAGGCAACTCTTTTTTTTCAAATTGTTTAAGTCAAATAAACATTGAATTGAATATCAGTGTTGCAATTAGTCTTATAGCCAACTGACTACAATTAAAACGCTGGAAAGCATTGGTGGCACTATACAAAAACAAATTGGTCTATAATCTTACAACCTTCACCTTTCTGACATTTTAGCGCCTTCTGTGCTTTGATTTTTAACTCTTGTTTTATGTCTTTCTAGAATCGATTGTCTGATAAAAATAAGATTTATTACAAACTAAGCATGCACATAATTTCCTAATGGTGGGAAAATGTGTGAAATGTTTCAGGTTACTTGATGCAACAAATTTCAGATCTAGATCTTTGTCATCGGTGTGAATTGTAATGTGTTTTCACTACAAAATGCTTTACTACATATGTCACACTTAAATAATTTTCTCACAAATGTGAATTTCATTTTTCACATGCTATTTTAGGTGACGGAAAACAGAAATCATTATATTTCATACCAATACTTTTTTTACTCATCCATCACAATTGTCATATATTATGTGACAACTGATCAACAAAAAAGCGTCTTAATTCTCACCTATTACACATTTATGTATCTTTTCACACACTAGTGAGTTGTCATATGTGTGTGAAGGTCAAATATACATAAAAGTTATTTTATCTCAAATTCTTCTTTGAATTTTAAATTTACTTAAATAAAGTCTGAGGGATTTTCACACACAACCATTTGCATTAGATCATATCCAAATAATACTAAATTGTATATCGTGACAATTTTTAAAGAATATATGGAAAGAAGACAACACTTGCGTACGGGGACATTTACCGATATCAGCAATTAAACCATTTGATTGATTAAGCAAGACTTACCTGTAAGTAGGTTGATCATAATTTCACTCAGCACAAATCTCCCTTAGGGCTCACACGCCTAACCAACCATTCCGTTTGATTTGATTCCTGCTTAAAAACCTTAAGATTTCTTGCATGAATAAAACATTCTAAAGTATGTATGACCAAGCTTGTGTGTTGATGCAGTGTCGGTAATCTGAGTGAGCCCTAAGGGAGTTTTTTGCTGGAAGAAATTATGATCGACCTACTTACAGGTAAGTCTTGCTTAATTAATAAATAGCATCTAACAGTTTCGAAATTGCTGAATTATTAACATAATTGTGCAAATAAAGGGCTTACAGGTAAGTCTCACTAAATCAATCAATTATTGTAGAACTTATAATATTCATATTTCACAACACCAACTATTGTCAGTTATGATAGATCTGTAGACACCAACTAGGCACATTTGGTTAATCTATTGTCATTCATTTTTATACATTATAATATTCTAGTATCTAATCATTGCCAACCACCTATGATAAACACTACATATGTGATAAAATAACCACATTGACAATATACATTATCACAGCCTTCCTTTATTTATTTCTCATTGAAAGTGTGTATTCTCATATGTGTCTTCAGTGAATTTTATTGAGAAAATGTTTTATTAAACTTATGATTCTTCTCGCCAGTGTGTGTTTTCATGTGTGAGATAAGATGACCTTGTCTAGAAAATGCTTTATCACACAATTTGCATCTATGATTCTTCTCACTAATGTGAATAATCATATGTTCAATTAGATGATGTCGTCAAAAAATGCTCTATAACATACTTCACATTTATAATTCTTCTCACCAGTGTTTATTCTCATATGCGCGATAAGATTACTTCTTGCAAAAATGCTCACCAGTGTGTATTCTCATATGTGTGATAAGATTACTTCTTGCAAAAAATCTTTATTACACACTTCACATTTATGTTTCTTCTCACCCATGTGTATTCTCATATGTGCCATAAGATTACTTCCTTCAAAAAATACTTTATAACATACTTCACATTTTTGATTTTTATCAGAAATGTGTATTTTGATATGTGTCATAAGATTGACTCGTGTACAAAAAGCTTTATCACACAATCCTCATTTATGATTCTTCTCGCCAGTGTGTATTCTCATATGTGTCAACAGAGAACCCTGTAGAGAAAAGGTTTTATCACATACTTTACATTTTTGTTTCATCTCGCCAGTGTGTTTTGTCATATGTCTTACAAGAATACTTTGTTGAGAAAATGTTTTATAACACATTTTACATTGATGATTATTCTCCCCAGTATGTATTCTCATGTGCGCATTCAAAGAACTTTGCTGTGAATATGTTTTATCACACACATCACATTCATGATTCTTCTTGCCGGTGTGAATTCTCATATGTTCGATTAAATGATGTTGTCTAGAAAATGCTTTATCACACACTTCACATTTATGTTTTTTCTCACCAGTGTGTACCATCATATGCCTGACAAGTTTACTTCGTTCAAAAAATGCTTTATAACACACTCCACATTTATGATTTTTCTCACCAGTGTGTAATCTCATATGTCTATTCAGTGAACTTTGGTAAGAAAATATTATATCACACAATTCACATTTATGTTTCTTCTCACCAGTGTGTATTCTCATATGCCTGATACGTTTATATTGTTCAGAAAATGTTTTATAACACACTTCACATTCATGATTCTTCTCGCCAGTGTGTATTCTCATATGTCTCGTCAGTGAACTTCGGTAAGAAAATGTTTTATCACATACTTCACATTTATGACTCTTCTGGCCGGTGTGTATTGTCATATGCCTAATAAGTTTACTTCGTACAAAAAATGCTTTATAACACACTTCACATTTATAACACATTTCACATTGATGAGTCTTCTCTCCAGCGTGTATTCTCATATGTGCATTTAAAGGACTATGTTGCGAACTACTTTCTATGTCACATCTCTGTATCTTGCCGCCAGTGTTCATTTTCGAATCATGTGCCTGATCAAATTATTTTGTTGGGAAAATGCTTTGTCACACATTTTACCTTGATGATTTTTCAAACCAGTATGTATCTTATATAATTATGTGTCTGTTCAGAGAACTTGTTAGGGAAAATGTTTTATCACAAACAAAACATCTATTTGTCTTTTTACATCAGCTGACCTTCTTATTTCTTTGAACATCACTTCTTTGGGGTGATAATTTCTTTTACAGTGAGTCTTTACTGTCTTTCTTGTCAGCATGGATTAAATTTCTTTCTAAAAGTAAGAACTGAATTTAAATTAATAAGTCATCACATATATCACTTGAATAATTTACAAAATATTTTCGATTTTTAATATTTTAAACTTCTACAGCCACTAAGGTTCCTTAAGTTTGCTTTCAATGTAAAAAAATTATGTACTGATTAGGGAATATTCATCTTTCTAAGTAAAGGCATATGAAACTGTAAACTTAAATCATGATATTTATGTAATTCATGTATAGGTTGGGGTCATGATGGTAAAAGGTGTGCAAAGTTTCAAAGCCATATGTCAATGGACTTTGAAAATATTTGAGGTGTAAGGTACCGGCGCTAGGGGGCATGGGGGATGTTGCACGTATTCATTATCCCTCATGCACATATTCAATCAAACCAAGTCAGCAATTCTCTTGTAATTTTGTTGTGATTAATGCTTCAGAGGGATCATTTTGTTTCCAGATTTTTAATTTTTACAAAAACTTTAACATAAATTCTAAATCGAAGGAGGGGCATAATTCTGTCAAAATGCTTGTTAGAGTTACCTCCTGTCTACCTGTTGGGGTCATGATGGTAAAAAGGTATGCAAAGTTTCAAAGCCATATGTCAATGGAGTTTGAAAATATTTGAGGTGTTTGAGCAAAATAAAATGTTGTTCTAGAAGATTTTATTCTGTTTATGTACATTATGCATGTGTATTAGCTAGGTAACATAGACATTCTATGTTACATCTTTTTAAGGGGGGGGGGGGGAGGATCAACTATATAAAAATGCCATTATTAGTGGAACCAATATAGTTTTACTGATGGTAAATTTTATTTAAAATATTTCATAAGATATAGGTTTGCTGGTACGAAACCCAGGTAATCCTCGCATGTATCAGTGCTATACAAAATTAATGTACACTGGGCATGTAAAAGAACCAAGGGATCTATTCAATAAGAGCTAGGGACTTGTTCCCAGATTCCCTTGTATCTCATAGCTGTCTCTAGAGTCTGCTGAGGTAAGGACCCTACTGGAAATAAGTGCTTGCACTTTCGTAGGTTATTCTTGATTGCCCGGTCTAAAGAAAATCAATCAATTAATCAATCAATCAGATTCATACAGTACCCTTTAGTGTTTCCATTTATTTTTAGTAAAAATATAGTATTATCATTATTAAGACAGTTTATGTAGAGCTTCAAAATTGCTGCGAATAAGAATTTTGCAAAACGAACTTATGAAGGAGATGATAAAACTTTGGAGTGTATACTGTATACAGAGTAATTAAAACGGCAACGTCTTACATTGAATATTATATGACAACCAACCATCCAGTATTTATAATCTTGTAGGTATTTTCTGGTTCCACCTATTTCAGAATAAGGTATAATTGAATAAATTGAATAACAAGTACGATTTAATTACGCTAGTGGGACTCTACAGTACAAAACAATGTATACTTATGAAAATGTTTACGTACCCCACCCACCACTTGTCTTCTGTATATAACAGGGCATGAACATTTTCTCCGGATTTAGATGTTAAAAGTTAAACATGATTTAAGAACAAATCCGACCTACCCTACCTATTGTCAAAGAGCAATTTACCCTAAGAAAACATTTTGACACCACGTGTTAGACCCCTATACATTCGATCACTGATAGATCGTTAAACAGTTTTCTGGTCAATAATAAACTAAATCTACAATAAATGTTTGTACTCATGGACAAATAACAAAATATTTCTATTCAAAGTCTTACATTAAATAAAACTAAATATATATATTAAAATAAACATGTTTACCTGATATTTTATTGAAACAATTTATAAAACGACTTTTTTTTTAAGGGTCAATGACGATCACTTATCAAAGGGGAGTAACTATGTGTAATCCTTACAGGTACACTGACATCTCACTCTTAAGAAGGTTCACACCATATTTTTATGCCATAATGAATTTGATACTTTTGATTACATTAACTTTATTGAATTGACCTAAAATGGTTATTAATCTTTTAAAGGTTCAATTAAATAATTCATTCTTGGTTAGGCGTATATTTGATCTCTGTTTGTTGGAACACCAACCTTTTTTAAGTAATTTATCTATTGTTTAAATAATGTAAGGCGTTTCAAATTATTTTTCTTTAATAAAACTATATATCCATGAATATCAATACTGATTTTCAGAGTTGATAATAAGATAACAATAAGGTCAAGTCCCGATTTATAATTTAATGAGGACCACTGCTAAGCAATGCTTTATGGAAATAATCTAAGCTCATTTTGCAGTTATGAATGGAGTTTTCATTTCAAAAGCTACTAAAAAAACGTGCTAAATAAAAATATTATGTTTCGCATTTTTTTTCCGAAATATGATTTATAAATATATGTTATACGCAAGAAAAGGAATCAAACACCGGCTGTCGTAACAAACCGCAGTAGCTAGTTTTTGTGCAAGTGGGTAATGGAAACAACTCAATATATAGAGCCTCGTTACCGCTGTACATAAACAGTTATTCTCAAGCTAGATATTCCAGTCTGTACCAGCAGCCTGTGCATGTAAGATCCTTATATAATAGTATTAACACGTTGATCAATATACATATAAAATACACTTACAGAAATTTATGATATTTATAATACGTTATTAAATTACTTTGAATACATTATGTCACACAGGCATATGTATGGGAAAAATACTAAATTGTTGGGTATTGTCAGCTGTTGTTAAAAAGCAGTGAGAAGTTGCATGTTATCGATCAGCCAAGAAACAAACTGACCTTTTTGCAACCATAATGTCATATTCTGCTGTTTGTTCAAGCACGGATTTATATTACATATAAATCCGTGGTTCAAGTATTCAAAATCATGCAATAAAGAAAGTAAATTCAGACAAAAACACAGTGTAACATGTCAATTATTAATTTTATTTTTAGCTTTGACATACTGAGAAATAAATTGTTGTATTCTTAATATTCTTATTTATATTTGAATACATGTATTTCCTATAAAAACAAAAGGAGGCTTGTGCGGCTAATTATAAACTCTTTAGCATATTTTAATTATGTTGTGCTGATTTATTGCACTTCTAGTTTATGGTTTATTTCACATATATGTAAGTGATCACATCAGTTTTAATTGTCTTCTGACCATTTTGTGAGCAATCTCTAAAGTGTGTATTAACAACAACAACACCAACAAAATCCTTTCATTTAGTCAATGAACTCAATTAAATGACAAAAGACATTGCAAAGAATTATTATTATACTATTTTAACACATGTGGATAAAAGTGATATAAGTACTGTAAAAAGAATAGAGTCCTCGCAAAAACTGTACATTTAACCCTGCCCCATAAATGGGCCTATAAGCTTTTTTCTGGGAAATATACCTGTACTTATATACATATATGGACATAACATATTAAATTTGTTTAATTGAAATACTGTACTCAATTTTCAAATTTTAATGATAATACAGTTTTACATGATAATATTTAATATGTGGAAAAAAGTGATCCCTCACATCTTAAGCACTAAAATCAGCAAAATTACATGAAAATTACAGACTCAGTTTGATTACGTCTGTACATGGTAAAGTATTATATGCACACACATAATTATCTATACTGTGATATATCGGATTGTGATGACAAAAAATACATAGATCAAGCACCTATAACAGAAATATGCAAAGACACCAAATATTTCATAAAACACACTTCTTCTAAAGTAATATACTTTCACAATCAATTTTACACATTTTCAGGGATAGTTATGAATAAAATTATAAGACAAGTTTCTCATTGTTTGATTTTCTGATGAAGACATCATTATTTAGTGTAACACCATAAGCTCACAGATAACACATTATTACAAGTAGAAAATTCAATAACAATATGAGTTTTATCTTCAACTTGGTATATATATCGCAAAAAATGCTAAACTTTTGATCAGCAGTTTTACCTACATAGGGACCTGTTCCAATCCTATGAGGACCAAGAGGGCCCTAGAACGCTCACCTGACCAATCGAACTCATCTGAGCTGAATTACTGAGACAAGCATCCTGACAAAGTTTGATGTCAATTGCATAAAAAAAGTGACCACTAGAGTGTTAATATTTTTTTTTTTTCATATTTGGGCAGTGTCACCTAGTTTTTGATCCCAGGTGATGCATATTTCAACTTGACCTAGAAAATATCAAAACAAACTTTCTGACCAATTTCCAGGATATCTGGATCAAAACAGTACAGCTAGATTATTTGCTATTCCTTTCATTATCATTCTGTTTACATAAATATTGACAAATAGGGGTTTCAATAATTCTTAAACAAAAGCATATTATTTATCGCCTAAATCTTTAATCACCAAAATAATTACTCATTTTAACAGTTCAGCGTATTAGAATGGTGGTTGAGTGTTGGCTTCCTCAATGTATAAGACCATGGTTCGATTTCTGGAAAAGGCACTTTTTCTTTTCTTATATTTTTTGTTGTTTATATTTTTTGTTTCAAAGATCTTGATTTTAGTTCCTCGTGAATTTAGTTCATACAATACTTCCGGTATTTGAGGACATTTAGTTTTACAAACATTCCCTTCTGACCGGTTAAGTTACAGGCAACCCGCACAGTCGTGAACGGGGATTAGAGTGATAAGGGAGGATTGGAAGATATTTGAATATAGAAATATACAATTGAGCCGAAATTGTAAAAAAATTGTAGCAAATTGAATTCAGAGCTTTAAATAGCATTAAATTGACAAACTATTAAAGTAAAGTGTCTGACCAGAACAAGCAGACAATATCTGATCTCCTCTTGGTATTGAAGGTTCCCATAAAGTTTCGTTAAATTCCAGCCAGTAGTTGCAGAGAAGTAGCGCGGAAACGATTTTTACTCCATATGCATACTACATATTACATAACTAATCAAGGGCCATAACTCTGAGTTTAAGTGTCTGACCTGAACAAGCCGACGATATGCACATTTCCTCTTGGTATTGAAGGTTCCCATAAAGTTTCGTTGAATTCTAGCCAGTAGTTGCAGAGAACTAGTCCGGAAGCGAAATTCGGATGGACGGAAGGACGGACCGACAACGCCAAAACTATATTCCCCTCCAGATTCCATCAGCGGGGGATAATAAATCTTGCAAGTGTGTATTATCATAATTATGCTGGATTAGATAATACCTTCTCTAGAAAATGCTCTAAAACACACTTTACATTGTATATACATTATATGCTTCTTCTGCCAGTGTGTATTGTCATATGCCTGATACATTACTTGTTCAGAAAATGCTTTATATCACAATTCACATTCATGATTCCTCTCCCAAGTGTGTAATGTCATGTGGCTGATCAGTTAACTTCGTTCAGAAAACTTCACATTTATGATTATTATCGCCTGTGTGTATTTTCATGTGAGTGATTAAAATAACCTTGTCTAGAAAAGGTAATATCACAGACTTCACACTTATGATTCTTCTCGCCGGTGTGTATTGTTATATGCCTGATAAGATTTCTTCGATCAGAAAAGGCTTGATCACACAATTCACATTTATGTTTCTTATCGCCTGTGTGTATTTTCATGTGTGTGAAAAGATTTCCTTGTCTAAAAAAGACTTTATCACACACTTCAAATTTAACATACTTTTCGCCGGTGTGAATTCTCATATGCTTGATAAGATTACTTTTTGAAGAAAATGCTTTATCACATCCTTCAAATTCATGATTTTTCTTGCAATGACTCTTCTCGCCAGTGTGTAATATCATATGATTGATCATATGACATTGTTCAGAAAAGGCTTAATCACACAATTCACATTCATGTTTCTTCTCGCCAGTATGTATTGTCATATGCCTGACAAGATTACTTTGGTCAGAAAATGCTTTATCACACACTTCACATTTATGCTTCTTCTCGCCAGTGTGTATTCTCAAATGTGTGATAAGATTGCCTCGTGTAGAAAAAGCTTTATCACACACTCCACATTTATGAGTCTTCTCGCCAGTGTGTATTCTTATATGTCTCGTCAGTGAACATCGACTAGAAAATGTTTTATCACAAATTTCACAACGATGATTCTTCTCGCCAGTGTGTATTGCCATGTGATTTTTCAGAGTATGTTGTTGAGAAAATGTTTTATCACACACTTCACAATTGTGTTTCTTCTCGCCAGTGTGTATTCTCATATGTCTCCTCTGTGAACTTTGGCAAGAAAATGTTTTATCACATATTTCACATTTATGATTTATCTCGCCAGTGTGTATTGTCATATGCCTGATAAGTTTACTTCGTACAAAAAATGCTTTATAACACACTTCACATTTATAACACATTTTACATTGATGAGTCTTCTCGCCAGTGTGTATTCTCATATGAGCATTTAAAGGACTATCTTGCAAACTACATGTACTTTCCATGTCAAATCTCTGTATCTTGTCACCAGTGTGCATTGTCATATGAGCGATCGAATTACTTTGTTGAGAAAATGCTTTGTCACACATTTTACCTTGATGATTTTTCAAACTAGTATGTATTTTATATATGTGAGAACTTTTTAGGGAAAATGTTTTATCACAAACAGAACATCTATTTGTCTTCTTACATCGGCTGAGCTTCTTTTTTCTTTGAATATCACTTCTTTGGGATGATAATTTCTTTCACAGTGTGTCTTTACTGTCTTTCTTGTCAGTATGGATTTCTTTCTAAAAGTAAGAACTGAATTTAAAATAATAAGTCATCACATATATCACTTGAATAATTTACAAAATATTTTCGATTTTTAATATTTTAAACTTCTACAGCCACTCAGGTTCTTAAAGTTTGCTTTCAATGCACATGTGTGTACAATATTTATGTACTGATTAGGGGATATTCATCTTTCTAAGTAAAGGCATGTGAAACTGTAAACTTAAATCATAATATTTATGTAATTCATGTATAGTAAGTAAGTAAGTAAGTAAGTAAGTAAGTAACGACTTTATTTAATGAGGCTAGCACATTCGGTTTCCCGATCTTCCATGTGGGCCTCAGCATATACATACAATGTAACATAACAACATATAAATACAATGTGACATAAATTATATACAACATTATATAGTCAACATTTACAAAACATCATTTAAGAAATAAACTGTTAATTTTTTTTTTTTTTTTTACACTTTGTGGCATTTTCAAAAACTTCAATATTGAAAAATACAACTAATGTTAAAAAACAACACAGTTAGTCATCCTGGTATCATATTTAGAAAGCTATGTACACAATAAAAATGGAAAAATGACATATATAAAAAAATGGAAAAATGACATATATAATTTAAATGGAAAATTGCCAATGAATATAGTTGGCTTGAAATTTTTTCAAAGTTTCAGAATTTCTAACATGTATTGGAATGTCATTCCATATTGTAGGCCCAGAGTAATTAGGTTGGGGTCATGATGGTGAAAAGGTGTGCAAAGTTTCAAAGCCATATGTCAATGGACTTTGAAAATATTTGCGGTGTAAGGTGCCGGTGCTAGGGGGCATGGGGGATGTTGCACGTACAGTGTATTCATTATCTTCATGTACAGATTCAATCAAACCAAGTCAGCAATTCTCTTGTAATTTTGTTGTGATTAATGCTGCCGAGGGATCACTTTGTTTCCAGATTATTTTTTTTTACAAAAACTTTAACATAAATTCTAAATCGAAGGAGGGGCATAATTCTGTCAAAATGCTTGTTACAGTTACCTCCTCCTGTCTACATGTTGGGGTCATAATGGTGAAAAGGTGTACAAAGTTTCAAAGCCATATGTCAATGGACTTTTTAAAATATTTGAGGTGTTACTAAAACTTTAATGTAAATTCTCATCGAAAATTTAGGGACATAATTCTGTCAAAATATTTAAGGTGTTACAAAAACTTTAAATTGGTTACGGCGACCCAGACAGTGACACCGACACCAATGCTTGGGTGACTAGGATAGCTCAACTTATTCGTATCGAATAGTCAAGCTAAAAAGTACATGTATACTCTCAACATGCTTGTATGAAATAAATATGGTAATTTATTGACCTAAAAGCGAATGGTGCATGCACAAAATCATTGCTAAACAGATAAAACCCTTCTTAAAATACTGAAATAGCAAAATAATATTTTGTTCTCGAACATTTTATTCTGTTTATGTACATTATGCATGTGTATAAGCTAGGTAACAGAGACATTTTATGTTACAATTTTTTTGGGAATCAACCATATAATAATGCCATTATTAATGGAACCAATACAGTAGTTTTACTGTTGGTAAATTTTATTAAAATATTTCATAAGATATAGATTTATACAGTACCCTTTAGTGTTTAGTAAAAATATAGTATTATCATTATTAAGACAGTTAATGTAGAGCTTCAAAATTGCTGAGAGTTTTGCAACAGGAACTTATGAAAGAGATGATAAAACTTTGGAGTGTATATATTATTTTTTATTACGCTCACTCACCAAAATTTGAATTTTACACATCAATATTCGGCTCGTCACACAAATCATGGAAATTCCATCATGTTCTAAACATAGAATAACCCTTACTTATGGGGCCTCAAATGGGGTACCGAAATTATCCATTATTTTGTATGAAGAGAAGTAGTTAATTCCCGTACATAAAATCTAACCCATTATAATTATATAATTTTATTATATCGGACCTTTTTTCATTTACAATTGTTGAACAGACCATTATCTAAGAGATAAATAGATGTAATTCAGGAAGTAGAGCGTAGACTAAACGCGGGTATCTATTACCCGGTACCGTTACCCCAACGCATTCACAAGCAATAGCATGCTTGTATGCATATTTTACGCATCAAAGCCATAAAATTATTTTATATAGTAATTATGGTCAAAATTCTGATAATTAAACAAGTTTCCATCACATTGCCTACTTATCTGTAAACAGGTGGTATTAGTGGAAAACCCTTTAACAAGCCTCACGTGTAAGTATTTTTGCGCATGCGCGCATGGACGGAATCCCCCGGAGAAAACAAGGTCACGTTTTGATGACGCACAGGTGAAAGTGATTTAAAATGAGACTTTTTATACGTACTGCCGAACTGACACTTAGATTTTGTCTTGTTTATGTATCTGCTTGATTTGAAATGAATTTTTGAAGAATGCAAGTAAAAATCAAGCGTTTAAATGAAAAATACGGGTACTGCTTCTGTACGGGAACTGCTCGCATGCCAGTACAGAGTAATTAAAACGGCAACGTCTTACGTTGTATATGACTACCAACCATCCCGTATTTATAATCTTGTAGGAATTTTCTGTTTCCACCTATTTCAGAATAAGGTACAGTTGAATAAATTGAATAACAAGTACGATTTAGTCACGCTAGAAGGACTACAGTACACAAACAATGTATACTTATGAAAATGGGCCACATTTTTACGTACCCCACCCACCACTTGTCTTCTGTATATAACAGGGCATGAACATTTTCTCTGGACTTAGATGTTAAAAGCTAAACATGATTTTAGAACAAAATCCGACCTATCCTACCTATTCCCAAAGAGCAATTTACCCTAAGAAAACAATTTTTGACACCACTGTTATGCATACTGTAAACATGTTCTGAACACTTCAGTAATAAACTAAAACTACAATAAGTGTTTGTACTCATGGATAAATAACAAAATGTTTCTTTTCGAAGTCTTATATTAAATTAAACTAAAAATATATATACATTAAACCTTTTTTACCTGATATTCTGTTGATATATGTATTTTTTGTTTTGTTTAAGGATCAATGACGATCAATTATCAAAGGGGAGTAACTACGTATGTGTAAAGACCCGTGTTTCATTATAGGTAGGTACACAGACGTTTCACTCTCGAGATGGTTCACACCCGATTTTAATGCCAAATCCATGGAGCTAAATATAAGATTGTTTATATATCTGTGCCAGAACAAATTTGATACTTTTGATTTAGTGAACTTTATTAATAAAAATTTAAATGGTATTTTGACTAAAAAATGGCCATAACATTAATTAAATTGACCTAACATGGTTATTAATATGTGCACTCTAAGTTTATAAATCATATCTTTTGAAAGTTCATTTAAATAATTTATACTTGGTTGGGTGTATATTTGATCTCTTTATGTTGGAACACAAACATTTTAAGTAATTTATCTATTGTTTAAACAAAGTAAGGCATTTCACATTATTTTTTCTCAATAAAACTATCCATGAATATCAATACTGATTTTCAGAGAACTTGATAAGATTGGATAACAATGTAGAATCATGTCCCGATTTACAATTTTATAAGTTGTTCTTACTTTTGAGGAAAATTGCAAATAATTGAAGACATTTACTTAAGCATCATATACTTAACCTAGAAAATTGATTATTATTGTATTTATATAATTGAATAAACTTTACTGTTTTCTATTTTAACAACAAAAAGCTTCTCCTCATAATTAACATGCATTAATTTTGTTACTCATGTATTTTGCACTTCGTACAAATCAAAGTTCTCTTCTGTTTCTGTTCTGTCGAAAGAAACACATTTATCTTACACGTGTAGCTCTTCGCATTATATAATGTCACACAAAACTTAATTGTTTGACTATTATGTCATTCTATATAAACTTAATTCTTTTACCATTATATCAGTCTAACACAAGGAGATGGCCTCCATTCAAAATACCCTGGAAGCTCTGGCCTTGAAGTACAGATTTTTTAGGCATTTTTACTATAAAAGTCTAAGTTGAATTAGTGACCCCTCTCCTCCCGGGCGGGCCTTTTATAGAGGACCACTATATACAATGCTATATGGGAAACATCTAAGCTCATTTTGACTTTAATGAAGTTGTAAATCCATAGGCTACTAGAAAAACATGCTAAATCAAAATATTACTTTTCGTGATTTATTTCTGAAAAATGATTTATATGTTATATGCAAGAAAAAAAATCAAACACTGGCTGCTATAATTAACCGCAATAAGATCAAGCTCTGGGTAACCGTGTAATGAAAACAACTCGGAAACGCCTTGTTTACCGCTGTAAACAGTTACTCCCGAGCTAGATATTCTGGTCTGTATCGGCAGCCGATGTCAAGATCCTTACATAATATAACAGTATTAACACATTGATCAATATACATAAAAAGTACACTTACAAAAATTTATAAAATTTTTAATACATTA